ACGTCTATTTGTGAACCATTCCATTGTAGATTTGGCTTTATGTTTTGGATCATTGTCCTGTTGGAGGATAAATCTCTGTCCCAGTCTCAGGTCTTTTGCAGACTCCAACAGGTTTTTTTCGAGAATGGTCCTGTATTTGGCTCCATCCATCTTCCCATCAATTTTCGCCATCATCCCTGTCCCTGCTGAAGAAAAGCAGGCCCAAACCATGATGCTGCCACCACCATGTTTGACAGTGGGGATGGTGTGTTCAGGGTGATGAACATATCGTTTTGCATTGTGGCCAAAAAGTTTGATTTTGGTTTCATTTGACCAGAGCACCTTCTTCCACATGTTTGGTGTGTCTCCCAGATGGCTTGTGGCAAACTTTAAACAAGACTTTTTATGGTTTTCTTTGAGAAATGGCTTTCTTCTTGCCACTCTTCCATAAAGGCCAGATTTGTGCAGTGCACAACTGATTGTTGTCCTATGGACAGACTCTCCCACCTCAGCTGTAGTTATCTGCAGTTCATGCTCAAGTTAAACATGCTGTTGTGGAGCCCCAATTAAAGAAACCCAGCCTGGACCCTACAGATCTTCAGAACTTTAGGCCCATATCAAAGATCCCGTTCTTGGCCAAAGTCCTGGAGAAGCTGGCCTACAACCAATTATCAGCGTTCTTGGAGGCTAATAATATTTTTGACTCCTTTCAGTCTGGTTTCAGGAGGTTCCACTCCACTGAAACAGCTTTACTGAAGGTGTCTAGTGACGTCATGATGGCTGCTGACTCCGGTAAATGTTCCGTCCTGGTCCTGTTAGACCTGTCGTCTGCCTTCGACACGATGGACCATGGTATCTTGATCTCTAGACTCCGGGATGTGGTTGGTATGTCAGGCTCTGTGTTAGAGTGGTTTAGATCATACCTTACAGGTAGAACCATTTGTGTGTCTTCAAACAATGTGGTGTCTGAATCCGCAGACCTACAGTGGGGTGTACCCCAAGGCTCCGTTCTTGGGCCTATTTTATTTATGTTGTACCTGCTTCCGCTAGGAAAGCTGATCCAGCAGTTCAGTGAGGTCTCCTACCACCTGTATGCTGACGATCTCCAGCTGTACTGCTCTTTTAAGCCCTCTGAGCCCCAGAGACTGGTTGCTCTCACTAACTGTCTGGACAAAATAAAGATATGGCTTAGTGAAAATAGCCTCCAGCTGAACTCCAGTAAAACAGAAACCTTAGTGTTAGCCCCGGACAGTATTGTTTCTGTTATTGCTCAGCACCTTGGTGACCTAAGTAGCTCAGTAAAAGAGTGTGAGGAACCTGGGAGTCACTTTTGATGGAGGGATGTCCCTAGAACGATACACCAAACAGCTGACCCGAAACTGCAATTTCCACTTGCGCAACATCTCTAAGCTCAGACAAATGGTCTCGGATCCGGAGCTGGAGATGATTGTCCACGCTTTTGTTTCCTCGCGATTGGACTACTGTAACAGCCTGCTTACATGTCTTAGTAAAAAAGACCTGGCTCGTTTACAGGTCGTCCAAAATTCTGCTGCAAGGCTTTTGACCCGCACCCACAGGAGAACCCACATTACCCCTGTCTTAAAGGCCTTACACTGGCTCCCTGTCTCACACAGAATACATTTTAAAATTCTGGTGTTGACTTTTAGGGCCCTTCATGGTCAGGCGCCTGAATACATCCAGGGCCTGCTCCACCCTTATGTCTCCAACAGGAGTCTGAGGTCCTCTACTCAGAACCTGTTGATGGTCCCCCGGACTCGTTTCAAAACCAGAGGAGACAGATCCTTCCAGGCAGTTGCTCCTCGCCTTTGGAATGAGCTTCCTCAGTCTCTGCGTATCGTAGAGACTGTTGATGATTTTAAGTCCCAACTAAAGACACATTTGTTTGGACAGGCTTTCTCGCACCATTGTTCATAGGCCTCTGTGAATGTAAATTGTGTTTTCTGTGTTTGTTTTATCTGACTTGTATGTGTATTTTGTATTTTAATGTGTGAAGCGCTTTGTGACCCTGGTCTGTGAAAGGCGCTATACAAATAAACTTTACTTACTTACTTACTTCATCCAGAGTGATCATGGGCCTCTTGGCTGCATCTCTGATCAGTCTTCTCCTTGTTTGAGATGAAAGTTTGGAGGGACGGCCGGGTCTTGGTAGATTTGCAGTGGTCTGATACTCCTTCCATTTCAATATAATTGCTTGCACAGTGCTCTTTGAGATGTTTAAAGCTTGGGAAATCTTTTTGTATCCAAATCCGGCTTTAAACTTCTCCACAACAGTATCTCGGACCTGCCTGGTGTGTTCCTTTGTCTTCATGGTTCTCGTTGCGCTTTAAACAGAACCCTGAGACTATCAAAGAGCAGGTGCATTTATACGGAGACTTGATTACACACAGGTGCATTCTATTTATCATCATCAGTCATTTAGGACAACATTGGATCATTCAAAGATCCTCACTGAACTTCTGGAGTGAGTTTGCTGCACTGAAAGTAAAGGGGCCGAATAATATTGCACGCCCCACTTTTCAGTTTTTTATTTGTTAAAAAAGTTTAAATTATCCAATACATTTTGTTCCACCTCACGATTGTGTCCCACTTGTTGATTCATGACAAAAAAAATAAAAAATGTATCTTTATGTTTGAAGCCTGAAATGTGGCGAAATGTTGAAAGGTTCAAGGCTTTCGCAAGGCACTGTATGATGTGCAAAAAGCCTTACAATTGCACCTTAGTTGAACCAATTCAAAAGCCTAACATTTTAACATTAGTCCACATCATGAAACATTTACTAAACAAAGTAGGAGCATTGAATGATCGCAATAGATGAAGTTTAAACATACCGGCTCATTCACATAAGCACCACACCAGCTGTGAGCTTTACCCTCTCTGAGCAGAGTGGATAGATGGGGAAGCATAGAAGAGAAAGCATTTATTAATTTATTTTCCCCCAGGTACTCAACATGCTTGAGTCCTGATCGGAAGTTTAAAAAGTGATTCTGATCCAGTCTGCAACCTTGTGTTGGCTGATTTGAACCTTGTGTACCATACTTCTGTAGAAGTAATATGCAAATGTGTATAGCGTCCACTGTCACTTTACTCATCTGTGCAATAATACCTTTTAATAATGTCATAAAGAATGTACAATATAGAATCATGTTTCCAGCTGTCACTTTACTTTGTCACTTTGTCCCATACCCTCATGCTGCTAACATGTTTAAGTTTATTAAGGAAAACCCCTTGAGATGAATCATCTCATTTTCGAGGGAGTCCATACATGTACAGATGTGTACAACTATACATTTCTTGCAGTAGAGTATACTGTATACTTGTCTATTATGCTAAAGACAGATATGTTGTACTTAATTCGTTTTCACTATACTAAAATTGGACATGTTAGATTTTATTCTATTCTTTTTTTAAGTTAGATTTTATCTTATTTTAGTATACTGTTATTGTTCATATACCTTGCGTTGTGTCCTTCTCATTCCTATTGTTCTGTAACCGGTGATCCAACATTTAAAATTCCTCACCAAAATTATCAACATTGTACATAAATTACCCTGAGTTACATTTACATAATACGAAATAATAAATATTATATACACAAGAGAAACACTTCGGAAGAAAACTTATTTAATCCCACCCCTGGTGTCTTAAAACATAAGACTCATTGAGCTTCCTATTTGCTCCAGAACAAAATCAAATCGAATGGCTCATTTAAATCAACTGTTCCGGTTTTAAACTAACAATGAATGGGTTTAAGGACATATACAGACAAGATACATTTTACAAGGATGCAAAACAACTGCATGAGTCAATTACCAGCAATGGTAAAAGGACAGTAAATACCAATGAGGTACATGTTAATCCAATGAATAAGATGATTGACTGTTTAACTGTTTACAATTCATTCATGCATCATTCACCGCTTTTAATATCCAAAGATATTCTCTGGATTGCATGCATGACCAAAATTCCCCATTGTGGAATGAATCAAGGTAATCTATGCATGATTGAAAGAAAAAAAAACACTAACACTGGCTTAATCTAATAACCTTAGATGATAACATGCAGTTAAATAATTAGCCAGAATTGAATTGGCTCATATAGCTGTGCCATTAAAAAACTGCCTGCCTCTATCCCCCTCTATTCTGCAGCATTTAAAAGTAAACACTTTGCAAATAGCCTGCAGAAACCAGAAGTATAACAAGCTGTGCAGCGATTGCTCCTCTGTGAAGCTCAGTTGCACTTTTGGACTTTTCCTGCACCTCCCCCCTCCTATTCCATCGCCCTTTTATTTTCAACTCCTCATGGATTTTGTGCGTTTTTCTGCAGCAATAACCACATTCAAGTATGTGTCCTAACTGGCCCCAGTGTTTCAATTGTTGTCCCGGTTAACAGACACACTCTCTCACACACACACACACACACGATGTAGAGTTTTGATACTCGGCCTGGGGCATTACACCTCTCCCTAATGAGCCTCCTGCTCGCTCCCTCTCAGAAAGTTGAAGTGAAAGTAAGGAGGCTGTAGACCAGGTGAATCCATACAAGATGGTCTCAGTTTGTAAATGTGTTCATCATATTATTTTGTTTTCTTAAAAGATCGTTGTGACCTCTCCCAGTGTTGTACATTATATAAAAATGGCTTCCAGCTATGGAACCCACATGACCTTTGTCTGTTATGACTCAGTTTGCCATATTTTGGATACAGTCTGTGGGGAAACTAGTCGAAGGGTTTTAATTTCCTGGTTTGATCCAATGAGAAAAACCTCCTGTTGGGTTTAGGGTAGGGTTGTAACATCTTGATGAGTACTATTTTTGTTTGTTTAGTTGGGCTCCCATTGACCCAATGATTTTTTTTTTGAGGTGGCACTAATGATTTATCTTTCAAATCACTCAACTCCTGTGTGCAACTGCTGGAAGGACCTTTTAAGTCTCAAAAACTTTTTCCAGCCTGAGACTGTTTTAAAATGTGTTTGGTCTAATTTGTCTTGTGTTTTCTTTATAGATCTGGGCCAATTATGAGGAGAAACCAGTAGAAGAATTTGTGCAGCTTTCAGAAGAAAAGGAACGTGTTGCAAACTACAAACCAGTCTATGTCACCGAGATCACAGACACCATGCACTTCTATGCCCAGGATGTCGAGACAGGTAGATCTACACTTTATTTTTAAAGCATGCATTTTCCTACTTGCATTCTACTTGCAGTACAACCCCAGACTCTTTTAATCAAGAAAAGGGACAGTTATATAAAAGAACCATGGAGGACCACAGTTATGTAAAAGAACGATCCAAACAACAATCTTTTAGAAAAATAATTATGCAGAAGTCCAGCGTCATAGCAGCAAAGGGTCAACATCGCAAACCACACGCTTCGAAAGACAGCGTTAACGCAACAGGGAGGCACATTGTGTAGTTTGTACACAACAGACTCACACGTGAACAATACGTAACTTTTTTCACACTGACAATAATGAGAATGAGGCAGAATCTGCAACCCAGTCTCAGGATGTTCTGACCCAATCCGAGCGCAGTCCAACTACTGTTACAAAAACAATTGCCAGAATACTTCATCAGCAGCGTGAGTGAATGTTTTGTTTTATTACCGTGATGCAGATAGGGCGCTGTGGCTAACACTAATGCTAACATGAGCTTTTAGCCATGTACTGCCGTGGCTCTATATGTGTCCTGCTTCTTTGATCATCATAGTTTTAAGCTCCCGCAGACGTTATTCCTCCATGCATCTCTTCTCTTCACACCACAAAACTATTTATTATAATAGATCCATGGTAAAACTCAGTAGAGACTGAACGTGGTCTTGTTTACTCGTCGCCTCCACGCGACTGTCAAGTGGCCGAGACGTTTCGAGAGATCCGGTCATTTATTAAACTAAAGTATTCTTTCCTTGGCAGTTTGGTGAATTACTGAGAGTTGAGGAGCACTGTCAAACAGTATAGGCAACAGTGCTCCTCAACTTAAAGGCACCCGTACTATATTGGACTGCAATATAAGATCTCAACGCTAGATGGCACTAATAATTACACAGTGTAAGTAAAAATGTGTTCGGCTGTTTCCTTTTTAACACGAGGCTGATTTTCTGAGCACTAATGTCACCTTATCCTCTGTAGCAGCACACTTTCCTCTCACACTCTCAAAAACCAACTATCAGATTTTCTCCATGTGATTGCTCCTATCACATGGAATTATGAAAATAAATCACACCTTCCCTCCTTCTCACCACAGACAAGAGAGGGAAAAAAACTAGCAAAAGTTTCAGATCTAGAAGCTTACACCTCCACCGTAATGGCTCTGTGCGTGCATTTATTATCACATTATACCCTCCTTGCCTACTGTCCATACATTTATCATGTATTATACGTATGACTTAAAGTTGTATTTACCATATTATCAATAATACTGGAAACATATAGTTGGTTATAATTTATAATTGTGTGCCCAAGCCAGTTAAAACTGGTAACCAAACTAAAGGTGGTTGAAATTGATTTAGCTATTTATGTCCATTAATAGATTAGTTTCACCAGAGATATGGCTCCCTTATTCACTTTATTGCTTTATACAAACATCTGCGTGGTTAAAGTCTAACTAGAATTCACAAACTAGCTGGGGCACATCAAATGGTCTGATGCCAGTGCATAACCCTTCATCCTGCGCCAGGTTTACTGTGCAGGAGTTCTGTGTGTGCTGGCATCCCAGGCAGCTCTCACATCTGGCTTGACTGGCACTCAAAACGCTCTAAGGCCATGAAATTGACTTTGGCCTTCTCTTAATTTGCTTCAGTGCTTTAATTAATTCATCCACTTTATGCCACTATGAACTTGAGTGTAATAATCCAATCAGGTGAATAATTTTGGAAACAGAAAATATTCTTGATGGTCTTTGTATTTGACAACTGTAATCTTGAGCACATTAAATGATCTTCTGTGTATGTTGTTGTAGCAGAGATTGGAATCTAAAGCCCTTGCGCCTTCATCCACCCAAGCTACTCTCCCGTTAATCAAAGTGACCCTTTGAGTTTTATCAGTGATCATCATCTCCTGTCAGTGAACTGCATGTTAACCTGCAGCCAGGGTTAATGTCTTCAGCATCATTCTTGTCAGTAAGGAACCCACAAATGCTATAATCTATATGAAGGAAATGACTTTAATACGCCAAATAAGAAGTGTTCTTACAGTATAAGGCACTTTTCTGTATCTGACGGAGTAATGCTTTGACATTTGTATTTATTTTTAATTGGCCCACATTCATCTAAATTGGCTTTTATGCACCTTTTACAACATGTTATTCTCAGCAGGGAACCTAACCTGACTAGTGCTGTGTCTTCACATCACCATATGCCTCTTTATCAGCACTCTATCCCTCATTGCTTCTGTTAGCCCCCTTCAATTTCGCTGACGCTCCCTCAAAGCTACTTTAAGTCATACCAAGCCCTTGAAGAGCACATCAAAGTCTTAGACCCTGTAAAATCATTCAAGATTAGTACTTAGCAATAACATTACATGTTCTCCTTTTTCATTTCAATCCAGCTCAATCAAAGTAAAACCATGTTTACCCATCTTACCATTTTCAAATTAATGTATTCTTTTCTCACTTTTTTACTTGATCTGTTTTCTATCTTTAGCCCTTTTAAACTCTCTTTTCCCCTATTTACCACGTGTCACTAGTGCTCTCTCCGGAGGCCATATGTAATTACTGTCAGAGGGGGACCTACATAGATCTCACTGACCTTGGACAACAGCAGACATGGCCCACTTCAGGCAGAGTCGGGAGAAATGACTCAATGGGCTATATCATTGTTACAAAGACGGGCAGACTACAGCATCAACAAATGAGAATATGTTCTTATAGCAAAGATTTATAATTAAAAGTTAAAGATTACTAATAATGTTTACATCACGCATTGTGTGAGAACAGGACATTGCGCTCAGAAATAGTCACTTGAAGAAGAACTAATATTTGGACACATGAAGCAGGCAGCATGGTGAGATCTTCAGCACAAGCACGCTCCACTGTGTGGAGCCACAGTGAAATTACGTCTCTCGCCCATAGCTTTGTTGTTGGTGTCCTACCATCTACACTTTCATCACCTCCTGTCTGGACTCTTGCAAGAGCTATGGTTCTCCTGCAAACTTCTCAGTGGACAGAACTCTGCTGAGCCACCTTGACATTCGCACCTCCTCCCATGATCGCATCTCCCCTGTCCTCAGAGACCACCGTTGGCCTGTGTCTTAATGTTTAGGTTAAAGTGGATGCATTGGGGATGGGGAGCCAACGCCAGACATTGTAAGTGACCGGAGACACTTCCTCAGTGAAGGCTCTGATTCTCTAAACCTGTGAGTTCTATCATCCGTGTTAAGAGGCACCAGAAAAGTGACACAAATGACTCACGATTAATAAAATTTTGACAGCCCTATGATTCTTGTTGATTTTTAGACATTTAAGAAATTAGGGATCAACTCTCTGCCAGCATAGAAAAGTACTTTTTCGGAATCATGCCTTATTGAACATTCTAATTATAAAAGGATGAAACTGAAGCAATTGCAGAATCAACAATATAATGGACCTTAGACAAAGATCCTTTAAAAAAAAAAAGTGAGGATTATGTTCACTAGCATAATGATGCTAACAAATCAGAGAATCAAAGAAATTAATTGTTGTGGGTGGTTGTTTATTCACATGGGCTACTTTCCAATGCCTGCATTCACTTTTCTTTTTTTTAACTTCAAATCTGTGTTACTATTGAGGGCCTTGGCCGTCAAAGCTGAGACATATCCTACCGGTTTTCAAATTTACTGCTCCCTACCACTTTGGCAGATGGAGTATTTAGAGGTCAAAGCATGCCCGGATGATCTCCCTCCTCCCAAGGCATCAATTATTACATTAGACACGGGCCTTGGCTTCAAAAATGTCAGCTCACCTGTCTGTGTCAGGTGGAGGCTCTGATTTTGTGTGGAAAATGAGCATCATCATATATTTGGTTCTGTTCTGATGCACATGATCTACCATAATGTCAAATTGTGGGTCTATTATGTAGAGCTCAGTGGTTCAGTGTCACTTTTACAGCATTGGGCCACTTACTGATCTAAATGGGCTTCTCTTACTAGAGCCATCTACGTGCTATCTTGGGGATTTATTTGGACCTCTTTCAAAGAAAACGGTGCGTTATCTTTAGCCAGTGTGGCTTTCCAGGTGTGAAACTTTAAAAGGGAACCACAGCTGACTGTACTATTACTATCTATATATTTTACAAAATAGGAAAAAAAAATGTATCAATAGCATGAATTCAGGACTGAATATAGCCAATCACACGACCATCTAGAGGAATTGAGGCCACGTTAGTCTGTCCCATCAGCTCATAATTTGTTTACATCACCAACAGACAAGGCCCTCAAAGCCAGGGCTGTATACAAGCTGGACCTTTGCTAGACTCAGAAGGAACAAGATTCACATTGCCTTGACCTCCATGACACAGCAAACAAGCATTTCTAAGCACAACCTTAGAAGCACAACCCACTGCACGTCAAAACTGCTAATCAACCTAAAATGCGCACCAAAAATGTTCTTCACTTAACATGCGTTCAGTGGCACAGCCTTCAGTCAGAAAAAATGCTGATGTTAATGCTCTTTGGTGACTCTTGCAATCTCTTGCAAAATTATGTACAAGCTTAAACATCTGTCTTTAAAGGACAACTAAACATCAAACTTTATTTAACTCTTGAACTGGATAAATATGTTTCTTGGAGTGCTCTCCACATGTCCTGGTCAATAGGCTCAAAGATGAGATTATATCTAAAACCGTCTGTGTGGTGCCCTCTATATTTTCAGTGGCACACCATTTGAATTTGGAGCTTGGCCTCTCCATTGGCTCTGGAGTGCAATGTGACTTTACTTTGTACAGTCTGACATCTGTCGCTCTGCGCCTGTGGTATAAAAGCAGCCAAGTCTCACACATACCCCCAATGCAAGTTGGAGTATTATGGTGACATCTTGTAGTTTAGAATTAAATTACATTAGTGGACCACTACTACTGCAGAGATAATTCTGTGGCTTAGGTTCATACAAATATCATAGTGTGTAAACAAGGGTGGAATGAGAATCTCTGGTGTGTAAACTATTGCGATGACAACTGTCTG